GCGACAGACCCAGAATCGTCATGTAAAGAGAGCAGCAGTGCCCAGAGATCCAAGCAACTGGATTAGGCTATCTCAATTCTGCACAACCCTTTCTGCTGCCATCAGTCACCCGACTGGACTGCTGAGTTCAGCCTGCCTTAGGGCATGTTACTTCCGCTGCACTGTGCCTCAGTTTCTCCCCAAAACACAAGCATGGAAAAGAAAAAAAGATAAAAATCCACGCCAAGTGGCTTTTCTACTCTGTTGTCACCGGTTTTCCAAGACTGTCACATCCAGATTTGCCTCAGTACCGCCCATGCTTCCCCCCCCCCAAGGTTCCTCTTCTCTCCCTAGCCCCTAACACTCTCTCCCATTCTCAGACTATCATCCCGCTCTCCAGGGCCCTGGAGGTCTGTAGTCCTCTTTTTGAGTTTACCTGACAACTCCCCTGACTTTGGGGCTCAGTGGCCACACGCCCCAGCAAGTTTTTTTGTTTGTTTTTCTTTGTTTGTTTCACGCTCCAGGGCCTAAGGCTTCCCCATCCTCCCCCAAGGAGTAATGGTTTCTCCCGCCCTCATCCTACCCACTCCGACCCCCTCACCCCTGCCTTTCGGGGATGACTAGTCTGTCCCTCTTCGTCCCCGAGTTCGGAGCCCGCATTCCGCTTGCGGAGGTCTGGACCCTCACCCCTGCTTGGCCACAGCCCCCAGAGTGTCAGCTATTTCGGGCACGCAGTTCAGGTCCCTCCCGCTGGACACGCGGCTCCCACCGGCACCTCCGACCGCCATCGCCGCCATCTTTTCCCTCGCGCTGTCCACGCCGGGATTCCTTGATATTAGCAGCCAATCACAAAGCCGGAGAAAAGCCCCCGGAAGGCGGAATGAGTCGCCCTAACAACCAGAGCGTCTGCCACTGCTTCGGAGCGGGAGGCCGAGGGGTGGGGAGTGGCTCTTTCCGCCAATCCGCTGGAGGCACCGGTGACGTACGACGTGGCTCCGTAAGATCCTCCAATCTCGGGACCAGTTTTCGACGAACTTCAATCTCCCATAATGCGCCTGTGTTCGTAGAACTCTGTTAGGGGACTACACGTCCCATGAAACCCTGCAGTATAAGCTTGAACTATCATCACTGAGCCAAAGGCGCTTGTCTCCGGGCCAGTGGCGCAATGGATAACGCGTCTGACTACGGATCAGAAGATTCCAGGTTCGACTCCTGGCTGGCTCGAGTGAGACCGGTGGTTTCCTTATTATTATTGCACCTCACGCAACATGGCCTTAAACAGCGTCTTTTAGGTCTCTCCCTTTCCTTACACTTTCGGAAGTTTGCTTCGTAACTTTTCACACCTTCATTTTTCAAGTCTTATTTTGGTTGAGTTCTGCATCCATCTTATGTCAGCTTTTCCTGTTACCTAATTCAGAGATGGTTCTTGTGTCACTGCTCGGGTCCATCTAAACTGAGAGAACTGAGTTAATGGCTGCTGCTCTTAAAATGGGCTTTGTGTGCACCTTAGTGTATTTACAAATAGATTATGACAACTAAGCCACTAATTCCTCAGGTTCTATATCTCAGACACAAAAGGTATACACACACGCACGCACGCACGCACGCACACAACACTCATGGTGAGGAGTCATGAACTGCCTGGAGGAGGGCTGGGAAAATATCTACGTTCTTGTAGAGGCGTGGGACGGAAGGAGAGGAATGAAGCAAGGAAAAACACGGAGAGAAAGGGAATACCTGGAAGCAGGCAGCCCAGAGGTGTTGAGGGCCTGGCAGCGGGGATCGAAAGAGAACACTTTGCAGAAGGCCCGAAGAAAGCGGCATAGACAGAACTGAGGGACTGCTAGGCAGGGAGCCACAAGAAAGAGGAGTCTCGGTTCTGGCCTCTCTGTGAGTGAAACAAGAAAGAAAAGTGGGTTGAGGGAGAATCAGTTCGGTTTGCAAATGCCGAATTAACTGGACGCCTAGGGGGCGCTGTGTAATAGAGAGTTGGATGAACAGTGTTGTGACCGGATGAGATTTGGAAATGGCCAGAAGAGAGGTAGCGACCTCGAAGTAAAGTGTGACCTAGACTGAATGACATCATCCGGGCCTGTCAGGGACAAGGTCCTTGGAAACACGGAAACGGTGTGGCTAGGATAAGAGCCCTGGGTGCAATGTAAGAGCTCCAGAAGGATGAAAGTCCAAAAAGCCAAACAACGAAGAAAATGCTTACGAAGCCTAATGGGGTTGTCTCATCTTAGTCTTCAGTTGATTTTTGCAGATATTACTACTACAACAACAACTATTACTACTAGACTTCATTTCTTAAAACAGTTTTAGATTTACAGAAAAACTGCAGGTACAATGCGGAGTTCCCATCTGCCTCCCCACAGGTTTCTCTGTTATTAACATCTTTTTTTTTTTTTTAAGATGTTATGTATTTATTCATGAGAGACACAGAGAGAGAGGCAGAGACACAGGCAGAGGGAAGCAGGCTCCATGCAGGGAGCCCGACGTGGGACTCGATCCGAGGTCTCCAGGATCCCGCCCTGGGCTGACCGCGGTAAACTGCTGAGCCACCAGGGCTACCCTGTTATTAACATCTTAACATGTATGGTACATTTATTACAATTCATGGGCCAATATTGATACATTATTATTAATCAGTCTATAGTTTATTCAGAATTCCTTATTAATTACCTAATGTCCTCTTCCTGTTCCAAGATCCTATCCAGGATACCATATTACATATAGTTGCCATGTCTCCTAGGCTCCCCTGGGGTATTCAGTTTCTCAGTCGTTCCTTGTTTTTCATGCCCTTGCTAATTTTGAGAAGTACTGGTCAGGCATACTATAGAATGCCCATCTGTTCAAATTTGTCTGCTTGTTTTCTCATGATTGACTGGGATTATAGGTTTGGGGAGGGAGATAACAGAGGTAAAATGTCATTTTCATAACATCAACATATACTATCAACATAATTTAAGACTATTGATGTTGACATTTCTCACTTGGCAAAAGTAGTGTTTATTAGGCTCCTCCATTATAAGATTACACTCTCCCCACCCCCTTCCATCCTATGCTCATTGGAAGGAAGTCACCATTTGTGTCCCACACTTAAGGAGTAGGGAGTTATGCTGACTTTCCTTTAGGTGGAGAGTCAACAACATTTATTTGGATTACTCCCTGCAGGTCTTACGTGTAGGTAGTTGTCTACAGGAAGTGGGTCAGTGCTCTACCAACATTTTAAGTGGTAAAAAAGAGTTTTGAGGAGGTCTGCTTGTTCTCTGCCCCATCTGTGTCTAACCAAACTCTACATTCAGAGAAGACTTATTAGATGTTGTTTCTTCTTCAGAAGCTAATTATCTGGGTTGTGGACCATCTGTGCTCCAGGCATCTTCCTCCTGATGTCAAGCTGGTGGCTGTTCGGTTGATTATTAACTAACCCATCCATGGGTAAGAGGCAGAGAGGAAAATCTATGAAACAGTAATGTCAGTTTTGCCATTGATTAAAATGATTTTCAAAGAAACTTGTGCAAAAAGAGCCTGGAATTTCTGACTGGTCTTAAAATAATTCCACATGGGCTGAATGTCATTTGTCTGTGATGTCCTTGTTTTTTTCATTCAAATGGCCTCAGCTATAAGAAGATGTGGTTTATGTATACAATGGAATATTACTCAGCCATTAGAAACAACAAATACCACCATTTGCTTCAACGTGGATGGAACTGAGGGTATTATGCTGAGTGAAGTAAGTCAATCGGAGAAGGACAAACAGTGTATGTTCTCACTCATTTGGGGAATATGAATAATAGTGAAGGGGAATATAAGGAAGGGAGAAGAAATGTGTGGGAGATATCAGAAAGGACACAGAACATAAAGACTTCTAACTCTGGAAATGAACTAGGGTGGTGGAAGGGAGAGGGCGGGGGTGGGGTGAATGGTGACGGGCACGGAGGGGACACTTGACGGATGAGCACTGGTGTTATTCTGTATGTTGGTAAATTGAACACAATAAAATTAATTTATAATAAAAAAAATGGCCTCAGCTCTATGGCAAGCATGATGCCAGTTCCCAATAATTGTGTACCACATTGCTCCCTGCCTCTCCTACAGCATTTTCCTGTGACTTAAAAAAAAAACAGCAGATACTATGGATCTGCTTATATGAGCCAGAGAGAAGCAGAAATGAAGGAGTGAAAAAGAAATAGAGCACCTTGTGAAGGACTTGGCCCTAAGCATAAAGTCAAGAGTTGATGAAGTCTGTCTTCTGTTCTGCCTCCCTCTTCTCTCCCTCCATGCTGAACTCTCATACACAGAAGCATGTAAGTCGCCTATGGGAGGTCTAATGGATGCAAGCCTTTGCTGAGATGAAAAGGTAGGGAGGTAGTAGGACAGAGGGACAAATACCCTGGGTGAGAAATTATGTTACTTTCTCCAACAGGAGCCAGTGACCAGCAGGCAGAGCATTGGAAACTTTTCTGGAAAGGAAAGAATATCCTCCCACAGATAATTCTCCCCTGGCCCCTGCACACACACACACACACACACACACACACACACACACACCCCTCACATTCCTCACCTCCAGGCCCAGTTCTTTTACCTGATCCTGTTTTTGTGACCTTGTTGAGACACCTCCAGCCCATTGTGAACACTCCCATCATCTCTGGTTCTCGCTCCTCCCTCAGCACTTGCCTTCCTCCCCAGCACCCCTTCACTCACCTCTGTGCCTGCCCAGCCAGCTACTATCTTCACCACCAAAATAATGGCCCGTTTGACCCTCCTACTGCTCCAAATTGCTTCTGGACAATAAAGGCTGTCTTGCAGCTACAAAAGTGGCAGAGTTACTGAGGCAAAATAATCTGTGCCGATTTGCATTCTCTTCCTTGTCAGCTCTATTATACAGTGTTTATCTGTCAAAATGAATAGAAAGTAGAAACTGTTCTGGAACATAGGAAAAGATGGAAAACTACCCAAGTTGTTTACGAAGCCAGAGTATATTCAATACCAAAACCTGTCAGAAATAGCATTCCCCTTCCCCCAAAAAAAACCCTACAGACCAATCTCACAAATATAAATGTAAAAATCCTAAAATATTTAAAGATTAACACGTAAAAGCCAGCAGTATACTAATATAATAATTACATACTGAAACCAATTAGGGTTTAATCTTGGGACTTAAGACAAGATTAGGTATTAGGAAATTTACTTACATAAAAGGTCGAAAATAAATCAAACAATGAAAAACATTTCATCATTTTTAACAGTCACCAAAGAGAACATGGCAAGTCAATTCTATTTGCTGTAAACACTCCTAGTAGGGATTCCTGGGCGGCTCAGTGGCTCAGCAGTTGAGCCGTTGAGCATCTGCCTTTGGCTCAGAGTGTGATCCTGGGGCCTAGGGATCGAGTCCCATGTGGGGCTTCCTGCAGAGAGCCTGCTTCTCCTTCTGCCTATGTCTCTGTCTCTCATGAATAAATAAATAAAATCTTTAAAAAAAACCTACACTCTTAATAGTATTAATATTCTTCATATATAAACACATGTACATATCAACAATTTATGTAAAAACAAGTATGTCAAAAAAAAAAAAACAAGTATGTCTAGTCTCATCACTGTGTTATATAATATTATTCTGAAAAATCAAATACAATAGGCTGGAAATCTTAAAAAGGGGTTGTAACTTTTGGCAAGAGAGACAAATTAACTCACTGTTTGCAGATGATATAATTGTATACATAGAGAATCCATGAAAATCAATTTTAAAATGATGAGAATAAATAATGGAATTCAGAAAAGTCACTTGGGACAACACAAATATAGTACAAATCTGTAGCCTTTTAAATGCTGAGAATAACCAGACAGAAGAAATAAATAGTAAAAATATCCCAATAACATGATAACTAAGATCACGGACTATGAGGTGCCTGCGTGGCTCAGTCAGTTAAGTATCTGCCTTCAACTCAGGTCATGACCCCAGGGTCCTGGGATAAAACCCCACATGGAGGCCTGCATTGGGCGCTCTCCTCTGAGGGGAACCCGCTTCTGCCTCTCCCTCTGCCTGTCACTCTCCCTACCTGTGCTTTCTCTCTCTCTGTCAAATAAATAAATAAAAATCTTAAAAAATAATAATAATTTTAAAAAAAGATTATGGACTGTGGAGCCAGATGGAAAGAGGTTAAAGTTCTGCTCATCCATTTATTAACTACATAAACATAACCTCTCTGGCCTCATATTCCTCATCCATAAAATGGGAATGTAAATAGTAGTTCTTATCTCATAAAGCTGTTAAGAGGATTAGTTAAGTTTAAATTAGTTAAAATAGTAAAGCATTGAGAACCTACCCTGCACATAATAAGCCTTCAATACTGTGATTAGTCTTTTCCCCATTCAAAATGGTAATAATAACGTTGCATAAAATACTTAGCTGGAACCTTAGAAATGTGCGGAACCTATAAAAAAATTACAAAAGTTTTGCCAAGAGATACAATGAAAGACAGGGAAAAAAATGAAGCGACAAGCCATGTTCTTTTTTTGTTGTTGTTGTTTTACCCGAGGAGTTTATTTGAGCAGACTTGGGCACCGGCAGGCTCTGCCTCTAAAAGAAGGTGTTGGGCCTCTTGGTGGTGAAGCGTGGCTTGTGCTGACGCCGCAAGACCCGATGGGGCAGTGGGAACTTGATCTTGGAGTCGTGGAACTGCTTGACCGCTGGCCGGCGGCACTTGCTGGCTGCAATCTCCTCCACCTTCGTGATAGCACTGGGTGACGGCACCTGCGGTGGTCAGATCCCGGTATGCCCGGCACATATTGTGGGTGCCACTGCGGGAATCATAGCGCAGCCAGAGGCCGAAGTTCTTCACCCGCAAGGGAGATTTCTCGAACACCTGTCCACAGTAGACAATTTCTCCAGAAGACTTCTTCATCTTCTTCAGTTGAGACACAAAGTACCAGAAGCGGGACTTGGCGACAACATGATTAGGGGCAAAGATTCGCATCCGATACAGGGGCGGAGTGCGACATTTAGGGGTGGGCAGACAGCGCCCTACCCCCTTGCACTCTCGCAGCGCAGCGTGCCGGGCCTTCCTAGCGCATCTCCGCTCTCGCCGCCACACCAAAAAGGAGACAAGCCATGCTCTTAAAAAAAAAAAAAAAATCTCATAAAGATGTCAATTCTCACCAAATTAATTTCTTGCTTTTACAATATTCAATCACAACTCTAAAGGAATCTTTTGTTACTTGATAAAATGATTCTACTGTTCATCTGTAATAAAAATCAGACAAGAATAGCAAGGAAAATTCAAAAAAAGGAGAGAAAGGAAAGGAATTGACTCTGTGTTTTACCTTAAACCCTTTATGAAATAAGCAGCATATAAATAATGGGCCACAACGTGCAGCTGATGTAAGAATAGAAAGAACAAAAGGGCTGAGTCAGTAGCCCAGAAACAGACCAGTTGTTTGTGTATATGTTTGTGATTAAATATATTATTTCTTTTTAAAAATATTTTATTTATTTATTCAAGAAAGACATACAAAGAGAGGCAAAGACATAGGTAGAGGAAGAGGAAGACTCCCTATGGGGAGCCGGATGTGAGACTCGATCCCAGGACCCCAGGATCATGCCCTGAGCCAAAGGCAGACACTCAACCACTGAACCACCAAGGTCCCTATGTGATTTCATTTATAAGAATAAAACCAGGGATCCCTGGGTGGCGCAGCGGTTTGGTGCCTGCCTTTGGCTCAGGGCGTGATCCTGGAGACCTGGGATCGAATCCCACGTCGGGCTCCCAGTGCATGGAGCCTGCTTCTCCCTCTGCCTGTGTCTCTGCCTTTCTCTCTCTGTATGACTATCATAAATAAAAAAATTAAAAAAAGATAAAATAAATAAAACCAGCTAACACATAGTAAGCTCTTATTTTATGACAGGTTCTATGAAAAACACTCTACATTCACAAGAACCCTGTGAGATAAGAGGTCTTATTCTCTTGGTCTTAGAAGGATAAAGTGATCTTTAAAGAAAAAGAAAAAGAAAAAGAAAAAGAAAAAGAAAAAGAAAAAGAAAAAGAAAAAGAAAAAGAAAGTGAGTTGCCCCCCTAAGAAAGGGTTTAGATGGGGTGCAAACTTAGGCCAACTGACTCCAGAGCCTTTGATCTTAACCTTAAGACATATCATCTATAAAAAAGCTATCCTAGACAATCTTCACAAACTAGGACAAAGATTAATTAAGAGAAATGCTTAGTGTAGCATTTTTTTCATGATTACAAAGAATGTAAAACAACAAGTTGGATATCCTATAGGGGTATGGTTAAATAAATCATCCATGCAATGAAATCTTAAGCAGCCATTAAAATCAATGTTGCCAGAGAAAATTTAATAACATGGAGGAACGCTCAATGATATGCTCTTCTGTGACACAGATTACAAACTGTACATACAGAATGACTTTGATATGTGGGTAAAAATGGTATTTTCCAAATTTTCTGTAATAGGTTTATATTATAGTGGAGACATTTTAAAAAATGAGCATAAAACCTGTGCCCTCCTCCTAGGCTTTCTGCTTGTTTGCATCCTTCTCTCTTTTGAAGACCCCCTTCCCTATTTCCAGCCCCCATCCCATCTTCAGCAGGCACTCTCACCTCAGAGCACTAATATGAGAACCCTCCTACACAGACTAATACCTACCACATGCCAAGGCACTTTAAATACATTATCTCACTTAACCCTCAGGACATTCTTTGGTGAGGGAGGAATTATTAATACATACATTCTGTAGATGAGAAAACTGAGGTTAAGTATCTTGAACAAAAAAAAAAAAGTATCTTGAACAAAGTTATGCTTCAGTTAAGTAGAGGAGCCAAAATAAGAATCCAGTTCTGGGGAAATCCTGGGTGGCTCAGTGGTTTAGTGCCTGCCTTTGGCCCAGGGTGCGATTCTGGAGACCCGGGAGCGAGTCCCACGTCAGGCTCCCAGCATGGAGCCTGCTTCTCTGCCTCTCTCTCTCTCTCTCTCTATCATAAATAAATAAATCTTTAAGAAAAAAAAAAAAAAGAATCCAGTTCTGATTCCCGACTTGCTGCTTCTCCTTTTACCTTTCCCAAAATGTAGTTCAAGGACTTAGGGGGCTCCCTGAGACCTTTCTAAACGGTGCTTGAGGATCTCCTACAAGTCTGTGTGAGGCCAGCTTTTCTCTGTTCAACCAAAGCCATGTATCACCACAGAAAGAAGATATAGGAAGAATTCACTTGTCCTCTATTAAACCAGATATCAAGGAAAATTTACAAAAGTATAAAACAATGTTATTCTTGTCATTAAATTGTTTTGTTTTGGAAATTATACTTTTTTAAATTAAAATGTATATTTTAGGGATGCCTGGGTGACTCACTAGTTGAGCATCTGCCTTTGGCTCAGAGCGTGATCCTGGGGTCCTGGGATCAAGTCCCTGATCGGGCTCCCTGCAGGGAGCCTGCTTCTTCCTCTGCCTCTCTATGTCTCTTATGAATAAATAAAAAAATAAAATCGCCTTCAAAATGTATTATTTTTAAAAAGCATTATTTATGTTAACATGCAATGGGCTTATTTTTTAATGAATTAATAAACAAATATTTTAAGATTTCTCAGTTTTAATCTTTTTGGTTGGGAAAACACTCAGTTTATTCAATTTATTGTGAATAAATTGGAACGTCTGGAATATCAGATACATCATTTCAATATGTAAATATCCAATCACATAAACAAAAGCTCTTTAGGATCCTTTATTATTTTTTTTAAGATTTTATTTATTCATTCATGAGAGACACAGAGAGGCAGAGACACAGGCAGAGGGAGGAGAAGCGGGCTCCACACAAGGAGCCAATGCAGGACTCGATCCCGGGATTCTGGGATCAATCCTGATCCAAAGGAAGACACCCAACCGCTGAGCCACCCATGCTTCCCTAGGGTCTTTAATGTCATTGAGGGTAAAGGAGTCCTGAGACCAGAAAGATTGAGAACACTTGATTTACAAGCAGCTGCTCTCCAAGAGTTTCTGATGCTGTAGATAGAATTAAACATACCTTCTGGAGCTCCCAAGGGCAGTAACCCTCTTGAGGGTAAAATGTTCTAGTGCACATTTCCTTACCAATTTAAAAAAAGATCAGATGGTTTTGGTTGGGTTCAATATCCATTGTCTTCCATCCCCACCAGAGCCCTGATGTAGCCTTGAAAGAACCACCAAGTGAAATGGGTGATACCTGCTTTCTGTTCTCCATCTCCACATAGAAGAGTGCTGTCTTCATAAAGGCAGAGGCATGAAGTGGGGGTGGGGTGGATAAGGAGTTCAGAAGAAATAATGAGTGTCAGGGTGACCTTCTATTTTTCCTTATGCCAGAAATGCCTGGGGCAGAAGCTAGCAAACTCTGGCGGTTGGCATGCTGCCTGTTTTTTGCAGATAAAGTTTTCTTGGACTACAACCACATCCATTCAAAACGAACAAACAAACAAACAAACAAAAACAAACATACCCCCCAATACTGTGATGAAAATTCAAGCACCTTTGTGATAAAGCTGTGGGGATTGAAATGGTAGACATTTTCTCCCTGGATTGACAATGGGAAAGCAGAACTTGAGGTGGGCCTCAGAGATGATATGATTTTATAAGCAAAGAGTTCTGCTAGTTAGATAGAACTGTAACAAGCACAGGAAAGCATGAAAGGGTGGTGAATAAGCCCTTGGGGGTGGCAGAGGGTGAGTAGTGAGTGTAAATGGGAGAAAGGTTGGAAAGTAGAGCTTCACCCTGAGGACTTGAATCCACAGCTGAGCCATATGGGCTGTCTTTGGAGAAATGACAAAATGAAGTGAAAATTAGAAAATACTTAGGAAGAGCAAATTAAAATCATCATACAAATTGGCCTGGCAGGGGCACCTGGGTGGCTCAGCGGGTGAGCATCTTCCTTTGACATAGGTCGTGATCCTGAAGTCCTGGGATAGTCCCGAATTGGGGTCCCCGCAGGGAGCCTGCTTCTCCTTCTGCCTATGTCTCTGCTTCTTTCATGAATAAATAAACAAACAAACAAACAAACAAATAAATAAATAAATAAATAAAATCTTTAAAAAAATAAAAAAAAAGAGTTTCATGCTCTACCGACTGAGCCAGCCAGGGACCCCAGTGTGAAGCCTTTAGAGCAAAAACCGAGGTTTCCCACTGAAGAAGAAATTCTGCCTCAAGACAAGCAAGCATCATTTCTGAGTTGCTTGCCTACAGCTCACCCTACAAATTTCAGAATTGCCAGCCCCACAATCATATGAGCCAATTCCTTAAAATAAATCTCATTTTATATGATAAGTATAATAAATAATATAATATAATAGGCTCTGTTTCTCTGGAGAACCCTGACCTTGCTCTTTGTTGTGTTTTTTTTTGTTTTGTTTTGTTTTTTTTTTTTACTTATCTATTCATGAGAGACACACAGAGAGAGGCAGAGACGCAGGCAGAGGAAGAAGCAGGCCCATGCAGGGAGCCCGATGCGGGACTCGATTCTGGGTCCCCAGGATCAGGTCCTGGGCCGAAGGCAGGCGCTAAACCGCTGAGCCATCCAGGCTACCCTGATCTTGCTCTTTGGATAACTCTTTTCTAAATTCTGGGCTGATTATTTTTTTAAGAGGTTTTTTCTTTTTGTTTTTTTTAAGATTTTATTTATCTGAGAGAGAGAGAGAGAGCGCACAAGCAAGGGGAGCAGCAGAGGGAGAGGGAGAGGGGTCGCTGTATCCCACGACCCGGATCATGACCTGAGCCGAAGGCAGACCCCCAACCGACTGAGCCACTCAGGCACCCCCTACTTTTGATATGTTCTTTCTTCAGCCAGGCTTGGTACATTTAGGTCTTTCTAAATTTCAGTTGTATTTTCTTGAGACCAGAGAAGCCACTTAGTCTAGACCTCAGCCACTGAATACAAACCACTTTTCATAGTAAATTACTTCTACAGATTGCTAATCTTGTGCATTATCAGTGGACTCCTTTTATTTTCTCTATCTGGAGCTACAAGGAGACCTATCAGTTCCTTTAATGAAAGGTAGCCCAGATCCTTCAAGATGGGTAATGTGGAGAGACTGTTTGGTGGGGTGAAGGGCCCAAGAGGCTGCCCTCAGGGATTCCCCTCTCC